GATTGGTTCAGACCACTGGTTCCCAACCCTTCAGAACCAACTTCTTACATATAAAGTATTTTATAACAGTCCTCTTTCCTGAAATGAAAATCAAAGATAATATAACCTGCCCCTACACACACATTAAAAACATAAATATAAGCCCTAACCAGAATATAAAGGTAAAATAAAGGTAATTTATAAAAAAGGCATATACATTTATTTTTATATATATATATATATATATTACGAGTTCTAATTATTTTCTGCTTTCCCCACGATGGAATTATACATCCCAGCCTGATGACTTGCAATTTACAGTGCTTCTTTGACCAATGTAAGGTGAATGGAAGTGCCACATCTGAGAAGATGCACGGCTCTGCCATTAACAACAGCATGTCTCGGATAGGGACTGCTCCTTTAGCCTGGCTCTCAGAATGAAAAAGACATGTGGAACAGGAGCAGAGCAGTAACTGATATGTACTGTAAACAAGTAATAGATTTTTGTTGTTGTAAGCCATTGAGGTTTTGGGGTTTTTTGTTACTGCAGCATAACTTATCAAAAGCTGACGAACACAATATGGTACAACAATATTCTAGCATATAAAGAAGTAGTCTTCACTTTATGCATGTTTTCACTTATATGTAATATTATCATGATCCAGCAGCTTCAGATGGACATGATACAATTGTGTTGTATGAAAAAATTCAGAAACCAAGAGGATATTTCTATTAGTGAAATGATTTTCTGCAATGGTGATCAATTCTTAGTGTAGCTGCAAGTTAAAAAAAGAAAAAGGCATCCCTCAATTACATGATAGTTTACATTCTTGGCACATAAAGTCTATAGTAAAATTGAGCAAAATTAGTTGTTGCTGGACTCATATAAAGAGATGTTTTACCTAGATGAATAGAAGTCATGCATCTATTTACATTACATTCAAAAACAGGCAAAATATATACATGCTATTAGAACACATATAGGTATATGACTGGAGGGAGGCATTAGGGTGTGTTCAGTTTGCAAAGATTCATCAAACTGTACACTTCTGTGTGTTTTTCCATATATACGGTTTTTAAATTTTTGTTTTGTTTTTGAGATGGCGTCTCACTCTGTCATCCAGGCTGGAGTGTAATGGCACGATCTTGGCTCACTGCAATCTCCACCTCCCGGGTTCAAGCAATTCTCATGCCTCAGTCTCCTGAGTAGCTGGGATTACAGGCGCCAACCACCATGCCTGGCTAATTTTTGTATTTTTAGTAGAGATGGGGTTTCACCATGTTGGCCAGGCTGGCCTCGAACTCCTGACCTCAGTTATCTGCCCATCTTGGACTCCCAAAGTACTGGGATTACAGGTGTGAACCACTGCACCAGGCCCCCATATATACGTTATAATACAGTAAAAAAGTTAAAACAAAGTCATTCATGAGACAAATCTTTGATGTGTAGGATTGTTCTATGCATTTCAGAATGTCAAACATTTCTGGTCTCTGCCTATGAACTGCCAATACTGACCCCTAATTGTTATGACAACCAAAACAAAACAAAATGTCTTCACAAATTTTTATAGTGCTGAACCCCAAAGTGCCTTAAATTTATACTACTCAAACATCATTTCCTGCACTAAGTCCTCTGAAGCTCATTGATTGACTGACATCTGCATAAAATTGGTCTTTCATTGGCCATTCTTCATAGGCAGGGTAGAAGAAGATGATGTGTGGGTGTTGGTGTTGATGTTGTTATTGTTGTTGGTAGTGGTCTGGTGATGGTGATGGTGGTGGTGATGGTGAAGATGTTGGTAATGGTGATGGTGGAGGTGGTGATGGTAGTAGGGATGGTGGTGATGGTGGTGGCAATGGTGATGATGATAATGGTAGTGGTGGTGGTGATAGTGGAGATGATGGTGGTGGTGGCAATAGGAATGGTGGTGGTGATGATGGTGGCAATGGGGATGGGGTGGTGTGGTGATAGTGGTGCTGTTGATGGTGGTGATAAAGGTGGTGGCAATGGTCATGGTGATGGTGATGGTAGTGGTGTGGTGGTGGAGGTGTGATGGTGGTAATGGTGATAGTGGAGGTGGTGATGGTAGTAGTGATGGTAGTGATGGTGGTGGCAATCGTGATGGTAGTGATGGTGGTGGCAATCGTGATGGTAATAATGGTAGTGGTGGTGGTGATGGTGGAGGTGATGGTGGTGGTGGCAATGGTGATGGTGGTGGTAGTATAGTGGCAATAGCGATGGTGGTGGTGATGATGGTGGCAATGGGGATGGGGTGGTGTGGTGATAGTGGTGCTGTTGATGGTGATAAAGGTTGTGGCAATGGTCATGGTAATGGTAGTGGTGTGGTGGTGGAGGTGTGATGGTGGTAATGGTGATGGTGGTGGTGGCGGCAATGGTGATGGCGGTGATCACAGTGATGGTGGTGGCAATGATGATGGTTGTGATGGTGGTGGTGGTTATGGTGTTAATGGCAGTGATGGTGGTGGCAGTGGTGGTAGTGGTTGGGTACATAGCCATCTGTATCAGCCACAGCATCTTCCACATGCTATCACAAACATCTTAGATAACTTTGCCCCAACCCTCAAAATCTGCAGTGGTTTCCAACTGTCTATAGGAAAAACCACACCCTACTTACCTGCTAGGGTAATTTTGAAGTGCTTCTGTTTGCACAGAACCTTTACCTTTCCCATTGCTGAACATGCTGTAGTATCACTATACTTTGCTCCTCCTTCTGTTGAGAAAGCCCTGCTCTCATTCTCACTTCTCTACGTCTTCATTCAAATGGTTCCTCTTCCATGAAGCAGCGCCCTGTCCCAGGGTTAACCCCTCCTTTGTCTACTTTCCCAGAGGGTTTTACTTAAATCTCTCTTTAGCATTTATTTTATTCTGCCTTTTGTGTAGTTAGTTGCACATGTCTTTTATAGCCTCCACAGGCCTAGTACAATGATGGGCACCGAGTTCTGGAAAAAAAAAAAAAAAAGCGTGTTGAATTAAGCAGAACAGGAACACAGCTTCTGAATTTCTCTGAAATCAGCAACCCAATATCCAAACTCTTTTAGCTGACTGAGACCTATAGTTGTCATCTGGGTAATATAGAGCTTCCTAACAATAGCTTCAATTATAGGTTAACTGTACTTCCCCTTATTTTAATAGGATTGCATCCTGAACTGGGCTCAGGGAAGGAAATGAAGGTATTTGCCTTCCCCGAACTTCCACAAGTTCACCATGCTTGGGTCCTGTCAATGTGTACATAGAACAGAATAGAATCAACAAGACAGTGGGGGAGGAGGGCTGGTAGCAGCTTGGCTTTAGCATGGCCAAGATGGAGCAGGTGAGGCCAAGTGATACTTGAGTTACAATTCAGTGAGCATTTATGAGTGTCTACTAAGTGCTGGCTACTGTGAGAGTCACCAGTATCAATTAATAAGAATCGTTCGGCCGGGTGTGGTGGCTCACGCCTGTAATTCCAGCACTTTGAGGGGCTGAGGTGGGTGGATCATCTGAGGTCAGGAGTTCAAGACCAGCCTGGCTAACATGGCGAAACCCTGTCTCTACTAAAAATACAAAATTAGCTGGGCGTGGTGGTGCCTGCCTGTAATCCCAGCTACTCAGGAGGCTGAGGCAGGAGAATCCGGGAGGCGGAGGGAGGTTGTGGTGAGCTGAGATCGTGCCATTGCACTCCAGCCTGGGCAACAAGAGCGAAACTCCATCTAAAAAAAAAAAAAAAAGAAAAAAAAAAGACAACCAAAAAATTAGCTGGGCATGGTGGCCCATGCCTGTAATCCCAGCTTCTGGGGAGACTGAGGCAGGAGAATCACTTGAACCCGGGAGGCGGAGGCAGTGAGCCGAGATCACACCGTCCCACTCCAGTCTGGGCGACAAGAGCGAGACACCATCTCAAAAAAAAAAAAAAAAAAGATTGTTTCTCTATTTACTCTAATGGGGGAGGTGATGTATGTGTCCAGGTACCAGGAGGGAGGTGCAGATAGGAATTCAGAGAGAATGTCTTTGGGCATGGGTCTCCCTGCCAAGCCCAGGTGTCCTGACTCTGGTGTGCTGTGGCTGCCTATCTCACTCACTAGATTTTAAATTCCTTGTGGACAGGGACCGTACCTCATGCGAATTAACTGCCTTCACCCAGTGTCCAGCCTCTTGGGGCCAGGCAAAAATGTGGGACAAATCACTAAGCAGTGTCCTATCCACCCTCCTTAAAGAAAACTCCACCCCTGTCATTATAAGCCTGTTTCTTCTGCTACTGAATGACCTGCAGCCCCAGGTTCCCAACTGTCAGGCCCCCTTGGGCTGGTCCCATTCCTTCCGGGTGGGTTTGAAGTGTCATCCGTTGGAGCTCGGCCGCCAGCGCCAGTCCTCTCGCCCGCCCTCCCTCCCACCCCCCACCACATCCCCACCCTTCCTGCTGAACACTGTGTGGTAGCAGCTCAGCCTAGCACTTCCTCTAATGGCTAATGCTTTTGTGGGAGGTTCTGAACTAGGGTTAAAAGACAAAAAGCTCTTCCCCCTCTCCCCTCCCCCAGTTCTAGTGTTGCTTCCTCTAGTTCTGACGTTCCCGTTGCTGTATCCCTAGATCCCGCCTTTGTTTTAAGCTCCAGAAGAAAGCCTTCCGGAGACTTTGTGACCTCACCCAATTTCCAACATTCCAGATTGTCTTTGCTTTCTCCCCAGACTTTAAAATCAGTGTTCCCTTCTGAGTCAGCTAGGAGGCCGGAGGGAAACAGTGGGGCTTTCGAAGCTTATCAAAAGCAAACCTTGCTCTTTTGAAAAAGGATTTTTCAAAGCAACTTGGGGACAAAGTGGGGTTAAATTTTACACAGATTGCTTACGAGCAAGAGTTAAGCGACTAACAAGACATGAAATCTTACGGAGAAGTAGGTAAAGCCAAAATTAAAAACTCCCTCCGGGTCAGCCCATTCTGCGACCCACCTCCTCCCCTCTGCGGCAGGGGGCTTTGCTGCAGTGGCACTGCCCACGCATACTCAACCAAGAGACTCAGACCACGCCAGCCATGCCACGAAGTGTGTTTTATTTTCATTATTCATACAAATAATTTTCTATAATATTCCAGGGCAAACCGGAGAATTTGGCAGTCCGATTGGGGGGGTCCCTTCAGAGACCCACAGGCCGGTGGCATTGGCGCGGAGTGCCCAGGTTCACAGTGCAGCTTGTGGCTCGTGTCCATCTTGCAGGTGGCTCTTCCTCCACATCACGACTGGGGTCTCGAAGATGACGGGGGTAGGAAATCCTCCAGGATTTTAGGAAATTTCACTCCGCTTCTCCTGCTCAATGGCTGTGGAGAGCGGGAAGCGGGCGCTGGAGGGGAGCTGCAACCCCCACCCGCAACCGAGGTGCTTCCCAGTGTGGGCGAGGCACCCACGAGGTGTGGGGATTTAGAAGGAAGCTTGGGGCTGGGGAGAGACAAGGCGCTTTGTGAAACTGAAAGAGTGGCCGGGGCCGCTCACACCGCGGGCAACGGCCGGGTGCGGGGTGGGGGAGAGGGTTTGCAAGGAAGAGCAGGGTGAGGGGCTGGACTGGGGCGCGGGAGACCGAGGCACACTCACTCTCTTTGGTCGGCAGGGTGTTCTTCTCCTGCGTCTCCGTTTTCTTCAGCTTGGCCTTATCGAAGCTGGCGATTTCCCCCATGTCTGGTTTGTCTGCCATTTTCTTAAAACAATCCTAGTGGGCAAACGAAGGCGCTTGACCTGGGGCTGGGGGCCAGCGTCGCCCTCTGCGCTCCCCGCCGACGCCTCTCGACGTGGCACTCGCGCCAAGGCGTGGCGAGCAGCCCCAAGGCCGAGGATCTGGGCGCGTCCGGCACCCCCCTTCTCGGTCCCAGGGCGTGGTCGCCGGCCCCTGCGTCCCGTCCGAGAAGGGCGCCTGTCCGGTGCACAGGATCCGGCCACACCCTAGGTGGGCCCCCAGCCCCGACGCCGCACTCACCGTGTAGTCGGGTTCCGAGCCCGGGATCCTGGTGCTCCCACTCGCGTTGCTGCAGCAAGAGACAAAAGAGCGGCGCCCGCCCCTAGCCTTATATACGCCGCGCCCCGCCCCGCCCCTCACCCGCCGCAGCAGGGGCGGCGCTGGCACCCGAGGGGCGGGAGCAGCGCGGGCGCCTCCTCGCCCTGCCGCGCCCTCCGCTGGGCTGCCAGCCCGGCTGGGCGCGGCTTCTCCCGCGCCCGGCACCCCCAGCTCACAGTGTGCCTTGCGTGGGGGCTGTAGTCGCCGCCAGGGTGGGCGCTAGGTCCCCGGGTTTGCTTTTGCGGCTACATTTCCCCCTTTCCGGGAATCTGCTGTTCACCCCGCAGAAAGGATATGGGACCGACTGGGGAGGGTGTGTGGTTTTGTGCGTGTGCAGATATGATGTGTAGCCGTGGGTGTGGATGTGCGGGCGTGCACGCGCACTCTGCAGCAGTCCTTGCTCTAGGAGACGCCCCACCCCTGTCGCCCCCACGCCTCTTGCTTTTGCTCCTCCAGAGTCCCCTTCCCTCTCCCACTTTTCCTCTCCTTAGGGAGGCTGAGTCCTAAGCTGGTCCTGCACTGAAAGAATTCGAGCCGAGGGTCCGGTAGTGGAGCGGGGAGCGGGGGCGGGAGGAAGGGAGGGGGAAGGGGAGGGGAGAAATAGGGTTCCAGCGCTCTTTGCTCAGGTTGGGGGCGGTTGCCCTCTGGTCAGTCGTCCCATGTTCCCTGAACTGGGCGGTTCCAGCAGGATCGTTGGCGTGACGGGTGCTCCTTAAATGCTGTTAGATGCATTGTGTGAAGGGCTGTGGTGAGAACAGGGCGTCCCGAGAAGGCTCGCAGTGTTCTTTTTCTCGCCGAGCTCCTGGAAACACTGTTATCAGCGGGTGCGGTTTTCCTCCTTGAAGTTAACCTTGAGGATAGTAGAGACCCACATGCCTACAAACGTTCTTGTTTTTCTTATTAACCCATTGTAGGAGTGGTATACTGCAATTATTCACATCTTTCTTAGAAAAGTTGTATTTTCAGCCTGTGCAACACCGTTAGGTAATAAGTTCCATAAATTACCAGCCCAGGAGTTAAGGCTGGTTATTCTTTTATTTGTCCTGACCTTTCCTTTTTCAAGTGTGAAGTATTACCAAGCCCTTTAAAGTGGGATTTGGTGGTAACAGCCTAAATTCGGTCCTGATTTTATTTATTTACTTTTTTTGAGACAGGGTCTCACTCTGTCACCCAGGCTGGAGTTCAGTGGTGTGATCACGGCTCATGGCAGCCTGGACTTCCCTGGTTCAAGTGATTCTTCCTCCTCAGCCTCCTGAATAATTGGGACTGCCGGCGTGCACCAACACTAGCGGCAAATCTTTTGTATTATTTTCGTAGAGACGAGATTTCAGCATGTTGCCCAGGCTGGTCTCGAACTTCTGGGTTCAAGCCATCTGCCTGCCTCAACCTCCCAAAGTGCTGGGATTACAAGCCTAAGCACCACTGCCCCCTTCTCCCCTCCTGATTTTACCTGCTTTTCTCACTTTCCTTCAGTGTGTTTGGAACAGTGGGAAGAGAGCTTAGGCTTATGTGACCTTGGGCAAATCTTTTCCTTAGTTTCTTCATCTATAAAATAGCTTTGGCATAAACTTAGATAAAGAAGAGGCATCAAGTGGATACGTTTTTTTTTTTTTTTTTTTTTTTTTTTTTTTTTGAGACGGATCTCACTCTGTTGCCCAGGCTGGAGTGCAGTGGTGTGATCTCAGCTCACTGCAACCTCTGCCTCCTGGGTTCAAGCGATTCTTGTGCCTTAGCCTCCCAAGTAGCTGGCACTCCCAAATTACTGGCACGTGCCACCATCTCCGGCTAATTTTTGTATTTTTAGTAGAGATGGGGTTTCACCATGTTGGCCAGGCTAGTCTCAAACTCCTGACCTCAAGTGATTCGCCCTCCTTGGCCTCCCAAAGAGCTGTGATTACAAGTGTGAACCACTGTGCCTGGCCTCAAGTGGATACTTAAAATAGCAACGTCATTGGAATATCACACTCATATTTGATGAGTGCATTGGTTAACTTCTGCTGCAATATGCCTTGTAACAAACCAGCCAAAGCTCAGGAGCTTAAACAATGATTTATTCTTGTTCCTATATGGGCAGGTCAGATGGTGCTGGGCTGGGCCAGGCTGGGCTTGGCTCCAGACTTTGGATTGGATCTAGGTTTGCTCCACAGGTATCTTATCCTCTGGCTGATTCTTTGGTAATGGCAGAATAGCAAGAGGGTTGTCCTGCAAGATAGTGTAGAAATGTTAAAGTGTCAAAGCATGTCATATACTGTCATGTTTGCTATCATCCTATTGGTCAAGCCCACCATCAACAGAGTGGGAAAAATATTCCACCTATGGTAAGAGAGGGAGGGTAGTGAACATTTCTTGAATGAAAGCGGAACTTCACAGGCAGGGTCGGCAAATAACTGTAACACACAGCCCCCAAAGTGGCTTAATGCAATACAAGTTTATTTTATTTTTTGATTTTTGAGATGGAGTCTTGCCCTGTAGCCCAGGCTGGAGTGCAGAGGCATGATCTCCTCTCACTTCAACATCTGTCTCCCGGGTTCAAGCAATTCTCCTGCCTCAGCGTCCCGAGTAATTGGGATTACAGGCATGCACCACCACACCTGGCTAATTTTGTATTTTTAGTATGGATGGGGTTTCACCATGTTGGCCAGGCTGGTCTTGAACTCCTGACCTCACATGATCCACTCGCCTCGGCCTCCCAAAGTGCTAGGATTACAGGTGTGAGCCTCTGTGCCCGGCCTACAAGTTTATTTTCTACTCATGCAGCAACATTCTATGCTGATGTTGCTGGTCAGGCAATTCTTTTCTATGCAGTGACTCAGGAACTCAGGCCCCTTCTCTCTTATTACTCTTCTCTCCTCTAGGTCCTTGAAGTCCACACCATCCAGTCAGTGGACGGGGAAAGAGGAAAGGCTAGAGGCCCACACTAGAGTTTTTATGGACCAGGCTTGGAAGTAGTCTCCAATACTTTTGTTCTCATTTCTTTAGCCAGAGCTCGTTCGCTTGGTTTCACATAACTGCAGAGGAGGCTGGGAAATATAGTCTAGCTGTCCCTAGGAGAGAAAGAAAGCAGGGTTGGGTGGTCTTGGAGTGGTCTCTGCCATACACTGTTGAAGGATCTGCTAAATAGAAAGTGAAAATATCCAGATTTTCAGAGACAATGACTCTTTGGAGGGTTTCACTGGCACTTGACATCTTTTCAGTTGCAATGCCAATAATTGTTTAGGTATTATTGTAATACATTCCCAGGCCCCACCATTGACCTGGGTGTAGGAATATTCAATTGTACCAGTTTGGACCCATGGTGAACTTCCATTCCAACTTCCCTTTATTGAGAAAACAAAGGAGTTGACTTCTAAATATAGCTATGGAGACATATGTTTGGTGACTGAGTGAGTATGCAAGACTCCCAAACAAAGGAGCTTTAAGGGGACTTGCAGACAGACATTCCTTATTCTTGCTCAGTGCAACCCTGTGGCCCATCTCTACCACAGCAGGCAGCCTCTTTGGCATCACTGCTGAAGGACAATGGTCAAATTCATGTCTCAGCCAGTCCCATGGGCAGTGGTTTTCAAACATCTTCATATTCTTTGACATTTTCCCACCATTTCTTGGGTACAGACTGGCCTTAGTGACTTTATTTTAGTGAATAACACATGGAAGGAATGATGCCTTTGTGACTTCTGAGGCTAGGTCGTAAAAGACCACGTTCTTTCTGACGTTCTTTCAGGATACCTCCAAGTTGTGAGAAAACCAAGCATCTACAAGGAAAGGCCACATGTTGGCATTCCAGCCACAGCCTCAGCTGAGGTCAGAGCCAATAGCCAGCATCAACCACTAACCACACAAGTGAAGGAGCCTTCGAAGCTTCAAACTGCCTCAGCTAATGCCAAGTGGAGCACAGATGAGTTGTCCCTGCCTAAATTGCAGACTCATGAGCAAAATAAATGTAGTTGTTTTAAGATACTAAGTTTGAGAATATTTTGTTACACAGCATTAGATAACTGGACCACCATGAGGTAGATATATTATAACCTGGTGATTCCAGGCACTCAGATCTCATTTGGGGATTTTTTCCTACATACTTAATGTAACACACACATACTTATTCAATAAATGTCTACTGAATGCTCACAAAATATCTGGGAGCATTCGGGCTGTGGAAGACACAATGAAACTCTCGAGTTACAAGTGTAGTATCAGTCAATAATATTCATGGTCATGCCTCCTATTCACTTATGACTTGGAGTGCCACTTACACATGACAACATTTCAGCCTGCTGCTGGAAACAGATTTTATACTGTTCACAGATGGAATAGACAAAGCTGAACTACTAAACTGCAATGATATTGCCATTTTCTTTGTCAAGAAGGATGTTCTGGAAAATGTAGAACTAATAAGAGGAACTAAGAAAGTCTTGATGACTGTCAACCTGGTGGGGGTGGGGGATGCCTTTGGAGGCTTGCCATGGGGCTTCATTCCTCAGACTTGTCCAACTTGACACTTTTATCAGAGACTGGAATGAGGATGTAGATAGAATAATGATTATGTTATGAAGGATGAACCTCTAAGCTCCAAAACCAACTGGATCCCGTGAAGAAATGAACAAAATGTGATGAGATAAACCTGATAGAGACAGATGTGGAAGCCTCCTGGCCCTAATATTAATCCTACCAATACAGGGAGAGATGATTAACATGGTTAACTGGCAAATGGCGGTGAAATTTGTGATTGTATGGATAGGAAGAAAGAGTCCAGTCCAGATTTCCTTTAATGTAAGAAAACCATTCACTCCTGCTATAGGACCTTTGCCCTCATTTATGCTCTTCTTGGTCTAAACATACGCATTGTGCACATTCTTCCTTCATTTAGGAACCTGCTTAAGTGTCTCTTTCCTCAGAGAACTCTCCTTGGCCCACATACAGAGCAACACCCTTGTCATTCTCTTGTCCTTTAGTGTGTTTCAGTTTTCTTCATAGAATTCATCTCTAACCAATATACAAGTAAACATGTTACACATTCATTTCTTTGTGTATTGTCTATGTTCTGCCATAGAAAATGGGAGACCTCACC